GACAAATAAATAAATAGGTATGTATCCATCTTAAACACTAAACAAAAGTCCTCAATTTGCCCAAATTATGGCATGTCGAATTGCAGCTATAGTCACTATTCTCATCTTTCCATCAAGCTATTTGATTTGTTATAGATAAAACCCCTGATGCAGACAAAGCCAGAGAACACTGGGTCCCAGTTACTTTCTCCAGACTTGCACAACTGGGTACAGCAATGTTTGCAAAACACATTTCTGACAATGAGATTTACATAAAGAAAAAATGGTCTAAGGTTTGACCAGAATCAGCAGTGAGACTGTAATAGAGATGGGAGTGCAAGCTCAGGCTCCTACTGTTTTAACCTCAAAACTTCTCTCAAATTCCTTCTTGGAAGTCATGCTTGCCCTACTTAGAAAGATACTAAAATACTTCTTGCATAACTGCTCAGGAAAGGCCATACATAGGGAATAAATTACTGAGCTGGCATTAATTTCATTTCACTCTAATGCTCTGCAATACGACATATTTTACATCAGCTCCACTGCATACGGTTCTTCTATCAACTTAAAGAGAAAAGCTTGACATCAAATTTATTTCTTGGATAATATACTGGATGCTTCTGAAGCACACACTGAAGCATGAAGTGATAGTGTCTGTTGAAGCCATCAGTTCTTATTGACAAGTCTGGTTAAATTATCAGGTTGTATGTAATTTTATTTGAGTATAGGAAAATGAAGGTTATAGCCAAGAGCTTGGTGGGGTTTTCTTTCCTGAGATGATGATTTATTCATTTTGGCTTCAATAGCTACGGTGTCAGGCGTATTTTATATTTTTCCAAGTTTGACACTTCAAACATTTGATTTCCCTTTGCAACTTCCAACCTAGAGCATGTTTCCCATTATAGATATTCAAGTGACTGCCTTGCACACACTGACTCATGAGGCTGGTTTTTATTTTCACAAAATATATATCCCTATTTGAATAAAATACAGATGGTGTCCAATACATTATACACAGCAAATTTGCCATTCCTTCCTTCATCCCCTCTGTGTTCAGTTCCTCAGATTTGAGCCTCAACATGTCTGAGAGGGCACAGCAACAGAAATTTGATGCCAGTCATACTTGCTTTGCTATAGGAGATACTGTGTAGTTATAAAATTACTATGGTAGGACTTTGCAGTTGGAGCTCTGCTTTAAAAGTGAGATGCATGGCCCTCAGAAGGTACTGAACAGGCAGCTTCATGAGGTCCTTTGGTAGAATTTGCATCAGAGGCGCACAGGATGGAAGATGCAGGCACTTGGCACCAAATGACTTTCCAGGTGACAGCTGGAGCAGATACTGTGCTCTCTTACATCACCAAACAATTTGGAAGGAATCAAAATGCACGTGCACAATGGTTACTTGGAAAGCTTAAGATATAAATTTTTGAAAAAATCTGTCGGCATCACTAGATGGCATTGGAGGGTGCTTTATCTCATCATAGGAGAAAGGTAGGTACAATAGTAGTTAAGGAATTGATTCCAAGCAAGCTGAAGGCACATCCATTCCAACTTTGGAGAGTGAATTGCAACACAAAGCAAGAGCCAATGTTGGCTGATGGGCTACTGAAATGCTGGAATTTTGTTCTGTCACACACAAACAGTCCAACACTGGTGAGCAAGAACTGGAAGACTGAAGCTCAGACAGAAATAACTTGCAGGGTACTGAAGAGACTGAGAACTGATAGACATGGGCTGGTGACCACAGAGAGATGAGAGTTAATCCGTTCCTGAGTTTTAATGGAGAATTTTGGTACTCCACACTCGTTTCTCCACCACAGTAAATTTTGACCACCCAACAAATATTTCTTACATAAATGGGATCTCTGTTTTTCTCATACCTTTTTATTACCTAGTGCCCATGTCCCTTTCCTATTACTTTTAAAATGATGTATATATTTGCCATCCTGTGATGTTTTTGCCTAGCATCAGCATCCATTTGGGAATTACTGTTAATCAGTAGACTCAGTAGCACCACAACTACAGTGGTTTCTGAATTGCATGAGTATTATTACACTCATACAGTTCTCTTTTATTCACACTCCAGTAGCTGCTAAAAAAAACACAAAGAAAAGTATGTTCCTGTGTAACCACATAATTCAAGGAGCTTGGTCTTTAAGAAATGAACCATATATCAGAGTAATTATAGGTCATGAAACATATGTTGCAATATAAGGCTGAAATATGGTAATTTCTTTTCACATCTGCCACCTTGACCTGCAACCCAAGTTATTAAACATTAATTCTCTAGGTAGAATATACAGTCTATTTGCAGACTCATTGCCTATACAATAAAGCAGGTATTATTTTTTGCCCCTGTAGTATTCTCTCTGCTTAAAACCTGAGTGTTGCCTAACTTTCATCCTGAATCAGAAATCAGAACCACATGCAGATGAAGATTTGACTTTTAATTGAGGTGTTTTGTTCTTGAAATGGGCATTAGTTTTGCCACTCATGGGACTACAGTGCAGGATGGTAAAATATGTGAAAATAATAGCATTCATATGATCAATAGCTCGTGTCTAAGAATGAGGTGAGGCCTGGTAATAAGTCATGTAATGTTTATAATAGGTCATGAACTTGCACAGAATCAAGGTCTTGTATGAAATGCGAAGCATGCCCATTTCTAAAACTGCTTTTGTGCCCCTCACTTTCCATTTGACTGGCTGCTCCACATTTCTTCTGGTGTATTTATAGAAAGCTTTATTTATTTATTTGTAAATACCAATTTGTACCATTGTCTTCATACACGCTGGGTACTTCTGAATGCTGAAAACTCGGACTTGTTAGGACATACTTGAACTCGGCAGAAGGATGATAAATGAGGATGACATGAAACCTCTTACTGTTGAACAGTAAATTTGTAGCAATAATACTGTTTTCCTGAGACTATTTATTGAATGGTGTGTCTTTAATTTGCTTAGTCTTGCTAAAGCTTCCACCATAAGGGTAATGCTCCATGTTGTCACTGTTTGACTTTCACATGAACCTTTTATACACATGCTTACACACACATATTATGTGTATGAATATAGGGGGAAATCAGTGTATTTTTCTTCACTTTTATGGTCAGAGCATTTAGATCCAAGAGGTGGGTTTTATTTTGTTTGTACTTCACAGCTACACATCTAACAGTCTGATTCTGTTTTGTATGAACATCAATCAAGGATTAACTGGACTACACTGGAAAAATCAAGCTAAGTAAGATCAAATTTTGGCTTTATCATTTCAAGTAGTCACTGAATAGTTTAGTCTTCCTTCTTAGCCCTACAGTCTTTTGCTGAAAAACTGTGCTGAGTGGGGATTTATTGTTTACAAGCCACAATTTCTAATAAAGGCGTTGTTTGACCTCTGGCTTGACATCAGAGACACTTTAATAATCAGGATGGCTCCTATTGAATTATATTTCCCTTCACCTTGCATGGGGAAATGGAGCACTTATTAAACAAAGACAAATGTTGACTGTGTGCATCTACGAAAGGAAGAGATGTGATACTTTCACTTCCTTTACATTTTTAAAATGCAGCTTTCAAAACCATCCACGTCAGCTTGAAAAAAATATGCTTGTAGTTACTTGCAAGCAAGTTACCTGTTAGGGTTAAAATGCCAGTGTTCACATCTGTACTGAAGGATGGATATGGCCCTTACATGTCCCAGGAGCTCTCAGAAGCAGTCCTCTGAATCATTTGCCTCATCTACCTTATTATCAACAAGTATATCTTCTTCACTCAAAATAGTGACTCACAAAGTCGTGGGGCCTTATAAACATTAACAGTCAGCACTCCACATCCACCAGGCAAAGTGTAAAAAGGTATGTATTTTGCTTCTCTAATTCTCTCTGAAATGCACACCTCATATATATCACCAAGTATCTGCTGTTGCAGAGAGGTGTGGGAGAGCAGTAGAGCAGGACAACTTTGTAGGAATCCATGACCACAGCAGAGAAAGCCCACGTGGTAACTACCTCTTTCCAGACAATTGTCTAGAACTGACATGTTAGCCACCACATCTACTCCTTTGTTCATCTACGATAAACACAAGGTTGCATTCACTTACTGTAAGCCGTGGTACAAATGATACAAATTCATCACTCCGTAAGTCAGGCAGGAAGAGCATGGGCAGCCCTTGGAGGCAGTTTATGCCACAGTGTGAGCAGGGCACTGCAGCCCCGGGTTGGAACAAGCACTCAGCACAAACCTGCAGAGAGCTGCGACTTCATGGAACTCTCACTTCTCCAGATGAATTCAACATCCTGTTTAGCACTTCATTTTGTACGTAGCCAATTGCTTTTTCACTAGGTAAATAATCTCTGTTCAGTGTGACATAGACATAAATAAGTGTACACGTACACACACGTGCATGCACACACACAGACATCAGTCATTTAAAGCCGTGTGGGTGTCTTCTTTCATATTTCTACCTTGCAGCCTGAGTATGTCAGGAAATGTAAAAAGCAGTCAAAAAGTTATGGACGGGGAGGAAATAGAAATGCTTTTTTCCACAGAAGACACGGTACGGCTCCTGGCTGAGTAGAACAAACCTGCCAGCTCTCTTTGAGCTCTGCCTCCTCCTCTGCTGTGGTTTCTCAGGGGTTTCCATGCCACAAGCGCCAGTCAGCACTGCTGAATCAGACCCACAGCTGCCAAAGACACTTTCTCCCCATGAATTCAAGCTTTTACCAGTGCTTATTACAGCTATTAAACTCACTTGTTGTAGTATCACGCCTCTCTTATTAAGATTTTAATCACGATTTCCATTGGAAAGCCTTACTCTCAAAGAGTTATAAAGCTGCCTATATAAAGTTGATTACTGCTGTAATCTAGAATCCAGCTTCTTGGCTCATGGCAGTTTCTTACTTACTTGATCTCTGTTTGCAAAAGCTGATGTAAATTGGTTTGGCAAGTTTGTTTAATTCCAGAGATAAACAATTTTTAACTTCAGAGGTGTTTTTTTTTTTTTTTTTTTTTCAGGCATGCAGAAAATGATGAAGTGAAATTATCCTTAGGTACCTTCCCACAGTATTAAAGAATTACCCCACATATCTTTTTTTTTTTTTTCTTTTAACTGTTGACAATTTTTTATCTAGGAACACAGCTAAAGGATTTAATCATTCACTTTGTTTATAAATGCTGAGTATTTTTGGAATGGTGTGTAGACCTTAAATGGGGAGGCAATCACAGGAGGCTAAACACTTTCCAAATACATACCAGCACCTCAGTGCCAACAGCCCATATCACTTCAATGAACTGTGCAGCGTGCGTTGGCATGATTTATGTAGCAATTTTAAAAGAATCTGTAGTGTTTGTTTATTACCACAGTGTGATTGATGGGTTTCTAAGTGCACTGCGACACAATCAGCTGAGCTATTGCGGCGGGTAGTTTGATAATCTGTGAGTTACCCCCATTACAGCACGTCATTTCAGTGGACTGCCAGAAGTCGTTAGGATATCAGTGACCTCAGAGGAACCGTGGTAAGACAAGACCTGCTGCCAACTGTGTCACCATCTGACCACACCTTCTGTGCAATCACTTGGACTATGAAAATTTCTGCCCCTCTTCCTTGCTCTCCTGCTACCCTTCTCTCTATGTCCAGTAAGAAAATCAACCATCTAGCACCACGGCTAATTACTTCAGGTTCTATTCTCACCCTCTGCCCCTCTACAAATGGTACTGACATGACTCAAACTTCAGAAAAGGAAAGGCTGATGAAGTGTTGTCTTCTAGTGGTCACCTGCGTTGTGACAGTCAAATACACAAAAGCCATCCCTGGATCCTGAAACACACCCCTTGCTGGAAGCCACTGGAGCAACATCAGCTCCTTCCTGGAAATAACACCCTGGATTTAATTTGACTTACAGTACACCATAACTGAATCCTCACTGGATTCTGGCATTTATTTCCAACACAAGAAAAGTAAGTAAGAAAGAGATTGTATTTATCTTTTATTTATTACAAAAATAAACCATTTAAGAAACAAATGCACATTTTTTTCCCTGGCTGTACAAACTACAAAACAGTATGACATTGGTCACTTTAGCATTTACTTCATTGCTTTCACTGAAAGCAAATTCTCTAGACACACCATGCCTATAAAAAGCATTTTATATAGAATTAAGGCTAGCATTCAATTACCATTATTAAGGTCATTTACTTCATTTACTCTAAGAATTAGCAAGCGGTGCCTTAGAAAACCACGGATTTGATGATAAAAATATGAATAACTGCAAGGTATTCCATAAAATAGTCCTGTTCCACCAGATGGATTGTTTTGCCAGTTTGTCAAAGATGTGGCTTCATGAACAATTCAAACTTGATTCAACAAAAGTCTTAAGCACAGGCTTAATTGTAAGCATATGCTTAGGCCTATCCCTATTCAGCAATGCATTCAGCACTTGGGTAAGCCCCTGCCTTTCAGGGGGACCATTCAAATGCTTATGTGATTTGCTAGACCTACAAAATGGCTCTTTTAAATTAAAAAAGTGAACCTTTGTGATAACATTGGAAGCGAAAATGAAAATTAGCTACAGTCTTGCAATTCTAAACATAATCAATTCTTTCATTTTGACAAACATGTTGCTATTGCATATTCGATAGCTTTAACATGAATGCTGATTGTCTTCAGCAATGTTTGATATTTAGCTTACAAATTGATATGCTTCAGTTACTCTGTTGTGATTGTACGAGCTCAAATAAATATCAATGCAGAAGATACAGACTTCTCATAGAAATAATCAACTTCTGTTCCTGTACACACACACAGGTCAGAAAAGTCACACTAACCTTGGTTAGAAAAGTTAGAGCTGCCAGTTGATATATATCCAAAATTACATCCCAACAGTGTATCGTATTTTGTAGTTTGCTTCGTTTTAAAATCACATTTTCAAAATGTTGTCTTATTGCACATTCATCCTGGTCATGCAGGTTACTTTTAAAAGTTTTGTTTAGCACTCTATAGATTAGAATGAGTAATAGTGCAATTATCTCTCCGAACACAGCCATCCTATACATAACAGCTGCCTATATTTATACACAAACAGCTCTGGTCACTCACACATCAGACTGAGCCACTTCAGCTGTCAGTCTGTTACTTTCACATACGTTATCTTGTCAGGATCAGGCATAATATGATTTGAAGCCGCCTTGAAGAAGACAAGCTGCCGACCTGCACATAGTAGGAAAGGGAGGAGAAAGGGAAGAAAGGTGATTAGAAATGATGAGCAAAAGGTTGCCTGCTTTACCGTAATGACATTTTGTATTCACAATCAACCAATGCAGTCTTTAGGCAATCCAACACTGAAGACTTTCTTAACTTTAACTGTAAGCTGTAATGCTTTCATTTGAAGTTGTACTAAATCTTCCCTGCTTTCTGTACATCTACACAATTATGGTCAAGACACAGCTGCATACAGTTGACAAGGTAAATGAGGGAGAGGTCTGAAGGTTTTAATATAAATGTAACATAATTTTTTAAAAGGGAAGACTTCAAAGACTCTCCCACTGAAATAAATGAACCTGGGTTCAGTGCTTCAATGAAGGGCAGTCATTTGACTGCACAGGAGAGGTATCAGCTTTGCATGCTTGAATCTTTGTGACACTGATCAGCACAATATACATTAAACATAACCTTCACTAAAACAGCTCTTGCTGATCACTTCATAGCTCTGGGCTTTATACATGCTGAGGCAACACCTTTTATACCAAAAATGAACGAATAAATAAATAAATAATCCAGCAAGTGATAACCCCCTAAACAATGTAAGGCACCAAATTCAGCTGAGTTCAGTCAGGTTTCAATCACCCCCATCTGTGGGTGCTGCAGGACAGGTCTCGTACTTTCACATCTGTGTCTCCAGATAAGTTCCTGCCCTCCCATGGACCCAGCAACTGCCTCTCCTTGAAGCAGAAGCTGCAGAAATTTTCCAGCAATACTGAACTTCTGCCTTCACTCTCTAAAATTCAGAACACCGAGTGCTCTTTACTCCCAGCCTGCCTCTCTAGGGGGCTCCCATAACACTATTTTCTTTAAAAGTATCACATGACAAACGGGTTGTTTCAACTCCTGACCAAGTTTTCAAGCTGCAGACTGCAGGGATTCAAGCGCTCGCACATCAGGGACAGCACAGAGAAATTCTATTTCATGTAATACTTGAAACATGGTTGCTACATTTTGTTCACTTTTAATTCTATAATCTGAGACAGGGGCTGCTGTAAACTTCCTAGAAACTCCCATAGCCCATTAGAATTATTTTTTAGCATGTTAGTTAACTTCAACAGTCTGATATTCTCATATGATGAGCAAGTAGTCACTGATTAATCACAGGCAAATTTAATATAAACTAGTTTTTCCTGGTTCCATGGAGGTCTCTGTTCGTATCTCTTAGAAGCACAAGAAATACAGAGAGCTGTAGCACTACACTCCCTGAAACACCCTGGCATGTCTGAAGGTTCTCCTCATTTGTGATACTTTCAGAGCTGGAGGTCTGCACCAAGAAACAGGCACATATGTAAGCCTGGTTTGTGCGTATTTATTTTGCTCCGCTAAGCAAAACCGAAGCACCCACTTGCACACAGGGTAAATTTTGATGTTAAGGCATGCTGTGATCGCAGTTGTACAGACAGAAAGTTTAGCCTCAGAGCCTAAATAATTGCCACGCTGAAGTCTGTGGTAGAGCAAGGCCTTAAATCAGCTTTACCAAGGGTTGGCTTGCATCAGCCACCCTTCCTCTCAAAGACAGGAGCAGAGGAGACAAGCTGTCCTTTGCTGAAATTGGCAATCCCAAGCAGGAAAATAGCTGTGCTGGGGGAGGGAGAAGAACACACAGCAGTCTCAGGTTGGGAAAGTCCACAGGACACACACGTTGGAACCAGTCACTACAGGAGGAAAACCTCACACTGAACTTCGGTGGGGCCTTATCTCACCGAATGGAGACAAAAGAAGATAGTACAGTTTACTCCACACTAAATGCATGATCATGTCTGGTTTTAGCAGACACTTGCAACGTTTTTGTTTCTCAGCATGCTGTGGAGATCCTCAGAATCACTGTCAGCCTGGTTGAGCAGTCACGAGCCAGGAGCAATGCTCCACTGATGTTAATCAGCACGACCACTTGCCTGCAGGGGAACCACACTGAGATTGCCAGGCCCGCAAACCTTTGGGGAAGTGTATTTATCTTTTTAAGAGGCATATTCTGGTAAAGAAAATGAGCTGTGGTAGCAAATGTTTTTTTTCCCTTAGAAAAAAGATTTTCCCAGATGAAATGTGTCAGGCCATCCACTTCTAACTGGTTGAAACCCTCCCTCCTCACTGTCCTCCAGCCAAGCCCTGCTGGCAGAAGCGCACCAGCAGCAAAACATTCTTCACATCAGACAGGAAGTCCCAGCTAGATGCATGGAAGAACTTGTTTGGTTTCATGTCAAACTGCAACAATCACATGGCTTGGAAAGTTGCATGAAAATCCCATGTTGGGCCACTGCCTGCACATCTAACTGTGGAAACTGGTGACAGACTTTCCTTGTCACCTCTGCAAATGTTTTGTCTGGTGTCCCCTTCAGCAGCATCACGACCTACCTGTCCAAGTTGTCTGGTTGGTTAGGACAAAAGCTTTGCACTGGGAGTAGCTGTCGCAAATCTCAATGGCTTCATTAACGTCAAACACAGAGAGGAGGCAGCCCTTGTGATGGTAAGATGGCCAGCATCTGTAGTTCTCATCAGGAATAAAGGCTTCAGGGACCCGCCGGTACTCTGCAAATAACCACAGCAAAACAATTGTTTCGAAAGGTCTGGCAAACTGCTTGTTCTTAGCAGGCAAGGTTTATTTCAACAGATTAGGAGAGGAATATATGACAAAAAAAGCTGACTGTACCAGTCCTGTTTCACTCCCAAACGTGTTTATAGCTCTGCACCTTACTTTCCTGTTCCTTCCTTCCTTTCTCCTCACCTTTTTTCTTCCAGAAAGCACCTGTAAATAAACAGTCTGTGCACAAAATGCTTTCCCTCTCCCCGGTGTGCAGGCAAGGCTCTGGTTTTACCGGATTTTAGGGGAATAATGTTCTGCTGAACCAACATCTCCACTCAAATGACCCGGCTGACTGTCCCACTTCCCAGGGAGCGTGGCTGCCAGGGGAGCCCACCAGGCGCTCCAGCCCTCCCTCGCTCTCCCAGTGGCACACCATTTTCCTCCAGCCCCTTTACAGGGAGAAGAAAAGACAGCCTTTTAATTAAGCAAACTTCTTTGTTTTGCTCGCTCAGATGAGTACAAAAGGGGAGTTGCTCGCTGGGCCTCGAGAAGGAGGAGGGAAAAAAAGCATAAGGAAGCGCAACGGCTGCCCTGGGCTCCACGCTGCCCAGTGCGCTGCTCGTCCCCTTGGCTGCCGTTCAGTCTCCCTTGCCTTTATGAGCTCCCCTTGTTCTCTGTTCACAGCTCTTCTTGCTTTCTCAGCCGCTTATGGGAGTTTTGCTAATGAATGCGCCAGCAAATTAAACTAATCATTTATAAACATCTCTATTTAGCTTCCAGACACACAAACAGATGGTTCCTCTCCTGTTGCTTCCCCTCCCACATCCTATTCAAAAAATAAATACATTCTATATTTCTTCTAATTGTATCTATTATGGAAACCAGAGCTGCCCGTCCTGACACACAGCCTATTCTTAAGTCACTCTGGTTCAGGCATTTTCTTCCTGACATGGCAGATTCAGCCCACCACTATTTCAGACAGCATATTGTACAAACATCACCAAGCCAGCAGACACACTTGCCTCTGGTCTAAACTGCCAGTATTTCAATCAGGAAAAGAATTGCACACCCAACCGCTCATTCACACCGCATAGTCTGAAACAGTGGGAAACAAATGCAGTAAATACACACTCTTTTTTAAGCCTGTCTCATTAAAATTACTGCAAGACACTCACAAACAGGAAGAAACATCAGAGTTGATCATGTCCCACTTACATCAAAGGCAAAAATCCCTTATGTTAATTTAGGAAATGCAGACTAGCACTCATGAAGAAAAGTAGAAGACTAAGAATGAAAAAATTAGTTTCACATTAGAAACATTCATTTCAGCACCAAAAATATATATACACTCTTTCTGAAGAGGTCGTTGCATAAATCAAACTGCTAATGAGTGAGTGGATAGGTAAAGTCTTTTTTTTCTCTCTGTGAAAACATAATTGCATCTAAGTGAATAATATCCCCTTATCTCTGTATGGTAGCTGTTGAATATTGATCAGCGCCTGGCAGCCCAGGCAAGGAAATTGATGTGTGCAAGTGAGATGTAAAAACGTGGAGCCTGGTGAATCATTTGGGCAGTTTGGAAATGTGAATTGACAGAGGTGGGCCAGCAACAGTGTTGATGGTCAAAGTGGGGTCCTGGCTCATGGGGCAGGAGGGGATGCAGCTTTCAAGCTGGTACTTAGGGTGCTATACCCGAGTGGCCAAGGGGGATGCAGCATGTCCCCCAGGGAACTGGGACAGGCAAGGGTATGGGGTTATTCCAAACCAGCCAGGTGCTCCTGCCATGCTGGGAAACCAGCACAGGATTTCATCAGAGATAGAGAATAGAAAAAATCTGACATTCATTACAATGCCAACCAAACACTGGTCTGAGAAAACTGGAATTTTATCCAAAAATCGCTTCATCTTGAGTAGGGCAAGGTAGCTGCCTTCACTCTTTGAAAAGCAAAGGCAAACATTCCTGGAATCCCTTGTTTACACAGTCACAAATTAGGGAGCTGACCCCTGAGCCTGAATTTGCATGAGTTGAGAAGAATTACACTCTTCTCAAGAGGAGCCACTGGAAGGGCCCTCCAGATGGATGCCCCTTGGTGGAAATGCTCCTGGCCATGACTGGAGCCTCCTGCTGCTCCATGCTCCCTATCAACCTCAGCCAGCAGGAAAGAAACCTCACTGCAACCAGCTCCTCATTCATGTCCAGATGTAAGTCAGAGGGAAATGCACAAGGAACCCAAACATCAGTACTCCTTGTTTCAGTTTAAAGGGCTGTTCCTCTCTTAGATAAAACCTGCTTAAATAAACTGCAGACAGAACAAAGCTTTCCTGGGCTATCACAGCACAACACCTTCCACATCCAAACCACTTCAGCCGTTCATTTCTTGCTTTCAAAATTCAGTAGAGCCTTTGTGATGTGCCCTGCAATACATATCAACACAAAAATGCCATAGCATTTGTCTTGTATTATGGACACAAGGCAAGTCTATCAGACCCAGCAATGGTTTTTCCACACCTTTAAATGATCATCCTGGTCACCCCAGCACACTTATTTGCTCAATTTAGAAATTCTCCAACGGGTTAGGTGCAGCTCTAGCTCAGATGTTTGTCCTGCCAAGACCTGAAACTTGCTTAAATGGAGTCCATGGAATTTGAAGGCTCACAGCAATAAATCACATCATAAAAAGGTCAAAGTTCTGGTCGATTTCCAGACTGATGGTGTTTAAAACCAATAAATACTTGCCTAATACTATAAATGCAGCCATAAATTTACACTTTTGCGTACATATACGTAGTTTGACATAGTGTATATGAAGTCTATCAAGGCAAGAGCAAGGAACAGATCAGAGGTATTCAAGGCACTCCTACCACTACTGCAGTGGAAAAAGAAGCCTTCTTCTCATCTACTGATGTTGTGAGGGCTGTAGCAAGTATATATAATGCAGTAAGCTTGATCTTGATGTCACTTACAGCAGATTTATTCCATCTTAACATGCTGGAGCTGATTCGCTGCTCACAGCTACACAAATAAATCCTACCAGGAAACATTTTTCCTGCCACGTAAATATTTTGAAACTTCAGAATATCTTGCTACGCTGAGTCTGGGCAGTTCTCAGAAGTTTTGTTTTTGCAACGTTTTTAATAGTTTTAAAATGTTTTTAGAAGTTGTTTTAAAAAAGGTTTCAGAAGTTTGTTCCGGATGATCAAAACATGCTGTTTTAATGTGTCCAGAATCTTCTTAAGATTTTCTTACAGCAATAGCCAGTCCTCACAACAGCCGCAGTGATTTTCAAAGCACACGCCTTCTTGTATGCATCTCAACAAATTGCAACCTCGCTGACCAGTGCAAGAGCTACAAAAGAAAGCCAGCACTTTAAAATCTCATTTTAAAATCTTTCCATCAAAAATCACTTGTGTTGTCCCAAAGTCGACCATAATCTATAAACATACTCATTTTCACTATACTAGACTGAGTCATATAAAAAACTCCACAAGTATACTGTAAACTGTGTGAAATAGCCTGTGGTTTCCCCCCTTTAGGTTGTTTGAGTCACCCAAAATCTGACTTTAATCAGTCCTAATGACCGTTTATTTCAGCCACAGCAGCCAGATTGCACTTTTACTACCAGCTACAGCTACCCGTTGGAAACATGCCCAGTTTTGTAGTTATCACCTGCCAGTACAGCGTGGGTCAATGACATCAATTCAGTAACGTTCATCCTTGAAAAGAAATCACATTACTCCTTTTCCTCCTTCCCCTGTTCCTCTTCTATGGAAAAAAAAAGAAAAAAAGAAAAAAAAGAAAAAAAAAAAAGCACTCCGGCAGCCAAATCTGGATTTTCTTTTAATTGCTTTGCTTACAAGTAAGCAGAAAGAGCCTCATGTTGCCAATCATCTCAGTAAAAGCAGTACTGAGTGGTATTTTGCTATACAGTCCTGCTGATTCCCAGGGAGATTAAGGAGCACAGAATTAGATTCTAAATAGGTAATAACATACTTATGCTTATTAGCACATTTCATTTTCTGCTTTAAATTTCCTTATGTCTCAATATCTCACATTTAAAGGTTCTTCCAACAAGAAGCCTTATGTGCAGTTGTGCTAAGGAAAGCCATTTCGGGTGCATCAGAGAAAACAACTTGCTAGGTATATCCTTTATGTCTCTGCTTTTAATTGTTTCTGACAAACCCCACTGTTCGGACTGACAGGAATGGCTGCCAGAACATGGATTTGCTGCAAGACCAGGAGACAGCACAGCTTCTCTGGTGTGCACTTTTGTCCTTTGGCTGATTCATGCACACAGACTGCAAGCAAATCCTACCTCTTTCCACATGCTATTGTGCTCACAACAGAGCTGTATTTAAACTGGCAAGCCTGCTGTCCTTGCAGCACAAATAAACATGGAGAACGATAGATTCAGTGACATTTTATTCTCATTAACATCACACAGCAGGAGCCGCACGGATGGGGTACTGGGACTCAAAGATAAGTACTGGGCTGCCCATGAAACAGCAAGGCAGCACCAAGTAGACTGCCTGTGCACCTTTACCTCTCAGTCCATCACAAAGCAGCTTTCACATCCCTGGGAACAAAAGGCAAAATGCACAAGTGTGAGATGAATCAAGAATCCAGGCTGCAAGGACTGTGGCCTGCTCCCAGTTGGGCTTGCAAGTGCCTTCACCAGAACCCTTCCAGTCTGAGCATTTTTGCCTGCTGTACGACAGGCAAATGGCCTCCAATTGTATCACAGCAACCTTGCAAAAGTTCCCCTCACACATACACATTTGTGCAAACACACACACCCTACTCGACTCCAATAATTCTTGGGTAGATTTACAATTTCCTAAGCAGGTTGCTATAGTGAGCCTGCAGAATATTTTTTCAAAACACTGTTGTACTGTAAATGTTTACATACAGCATAACCCTGCCAAATTGTCTTAAGACAAAGGAAAACACAAAGTGTCTTTGCTTAATGTTCAGCTTTCCAGCCTCTTTTTAGTGCTGTGACCATACTTTCAACTAACAACAGAAGTTTATTACACCTTTCTGTGAGCTTGTACACCCTTAGGCCTAATAATGGGTCATCTATTAGCTTTAATGAATAACAAAGCTATCGGATTTACTAGCATTAGCTGATTTCATGCATTTCTGAGTAAATTCTGAGCTAACTGAAAGGCTGAGGCTTAGCTTGACATCCGGACGCTCAGTTGCTACAAATCAACATCACTCGATTGAAATAATGCAAATTTTGATACTGAGGCAGGGTGTCACTGATGAGCGTCAGCAGATTTCTTATTTCTTAATCTTGATAATCGTTTTAGATGACATATGCCAGAGGAAATGCATGGTTTCTGGATTAATTCATTCTTCTGGATTCCAACAAAAGAGACTAAGAGTCCACAGAATATAAAATATTTGCTCAGTGTTGTTTTAAACACTGCAATGTTCCTGCAACAACATTAACAGTAGTGTGATTTATGATTACAGAACACATATGAAGCTATCGAATGTCTCCTGCACCTCTACTCTGTTTCTTCGATACTAAAGCAAAGTCCAGAGCATAATATAATTTACAGCACTATAAAATGTTTTACAACTGAAGCACAGTGAAAGCTTAATATCCACGACCTTCTGTAATATGACCATGTCATCTTGTTAAACTTTCTTTATGGGAACACTAGAGCTGACAGGAGCTTTCCTCATGTCACTTCCCCGCCGATTATCAATATCACCTTTCTCACTTCACGTTGTTCGTAGGAGGAGGGCTTCCTTTCAAAAACATAGGTTCAGATAGATAACAGACTGTTTTCTAAAAGTTTACGTTTTAGTTACAGCTTTAGATCATTTGCCCAAGATCATGATCTCCTCTTTCCTACTAAGAATTTACAATGCTCTATCCAAGACAATGGATAATTCAAAACATTTAGATTTAAAACAAATTCTGACGCACCACTACTTAAACCTTCTATGTTTTCTTTTTCAAACAAAACAAAATAAAATCTTGCAATTATTGGATTTGAACTCTCCTCTAGGATTTCAGTAAAGATCATCTATCAGGAAAAGGCCTTCCTTTGTCAAAACTCTTCATTGCCAGAGAGACAGAGACACTATTTTTTGTCATTTTATCTACTTGGAAGAGTGAAAACCTTCAGAGCCAGTCACTCTGAGATGTTCATTGTCCAAAACAAAACTGATGTGAACTTGTGTCTGCAAGGTCTTGGCACACTGGTGTACAAAGGTAAGCTTTGATTAACTTCAGTCTGGCCTCAGAACCAAACCACAATCTAGTTTTATCTTAAGCTGACGCTGGATTGGAAGACACAATCCCTGAACTTTCATTGTGCTACAGAGCAAGATAAAAACGGTTTTAAAAAATCCTATAATCTCACCTAAATAGTTTGCTTTGATTTCAGACAGTAATGCAGGGTCCTCCTAACTCCCAAACAAAGCTGAAGCATGACCTCAGCTGACAGCAGGGGAAACAATCATGGCTGTCCCTTTCATACTCCGCTTCTACTGCCAAGAAAACATTTGACCTGTTCAGCTGCTCAGCCCTGGTTTTGCTGGTCAAGAAGCTAGCTCAGTTGGGAATGTCTTCCAGCAGCAAGAGGATGACCACTCAGACACTAGTTCTTTCCAGTATTACTGCACATCAGAAGAATTTCTCATTTATTGAATAATCAATGGACTGAGGATATTAATTAAATGAACTGATATTAATTCTAGCATGGTATTACAAGTCCAATATTAGTGGAGGATAGAATGTGCTTTGGATAAAAGCGATAGAAATAAGCAGGTAGGGAGGGGTATTTTACCCTCATAATATGACTTCATGCTTTTTTGGCAAGCAAAAGGAGCCTTAAAATAGAAATAAATTACAACCCTTTTTCTGTTTGGTTTAAGTAGCCTTAGAACAAACAAGAAACAGGCCTGCACATCTTAAAGACGTGGCAGCTAAGTCTGAAAACATATCTCATCTAAATGTAATTTCCATCAAGATATCTGATTTCTCAGGCTTGCCATTGGTTGAGATCTTTTTCATATCAGGGAATTCAGTGTTACACTCCTAATCTTTAACTTAGTACCCTTTTAGATTGGTCAAATACAATACACATACGTCCACCAATTTTCAACATCTTTGCTCAAGCTGCAGAGCAGCTTCTCTCAAGTCCAAGAGCAGCATCCTAAAAGTAAAAGGGGTTTCTTCCATCAAAGGGTATTACTAGCTATGAAAAAGGACAGATTCTGTGTTATATTATCCAGGACTCTATGGAATTAAACTGACACAAAAATGTGTAATTACTATAGGAGCCAAACATACATGGAGCACTGCTCCGTATTAGTAGAAACTCGCACTGTCACATTTACTACTACTGTCCTAAGCTTTCTTCCCTGAGATGCTTTATAAACATGACAGACCTCTAAAATTCAAAGCTTCATATTGTCCTGATACGGCAGTTAAACCTGGAATAAACCAGCATCACAGAAAAACTCCAGCCCTCCTGGCACTTCTTCAACAAAGGACGTGTTTGTACTATCGATTGTACTGCTGAAAATAATTTTGCTGTGTTGACAGGCATCACTCAGCACAGATCGTGATGAAAAGCCGAAAAATTAGAAAGTTAAATGAACACCTGCAACAATTTTCCTGCCAATTTTACAACAAAATAAATATTGAATTATTCTGATAAGTGGGTCAAATTCATCCCTGGTGTCATGGCCCTCTGAGGTTAACAGCGCTATGACAGGATTGAATTTGGCTCCTGTGTCTCTCTTTCAGAGAAAATGCTTCACCGAACTTTTAAAACCCTCTGTGCCATCATTCATCTTCATTTAGAACCCATCTTTTCTTCTTTACTGTGCTTTTTTTGCAGCAAAACTGTAATTTACCTATCAACTTGCAGTCAATTATGCTGACAGCCTGACATGAACATTGTACATACACAAAAATAATTTGCAAAACAGCTTTTTCAATTGTTAGGCTTAACAGGAATTTCCATCATACATAATCTTCTTTGACATGCACAATTCCACAACCAATCCTTCCCGGAAGAATATGCATCCTTCCACATCACAGCTGCTTCAATAGCATTTTACATGTCTGCAGTGCTGCAGAGATCTCACGAAAAACAGAAAGATGCTATACGCAGCCTCATTTTGATGTTGTGATTTTTTCCTTTTTTTTTTTTTTGACTGTTAATAACACTTCTTTTTCTTATAAAGGAAGATGAAAGTTTTGTCTTGCCATCTTGGTTAAGTTGTGAGAAACTTTTGCCTGACCAACCTAGTGGCCTTTTACAATGGTATAACTGCGTCAATGGACAAGGGAAGAGCCACTGACATCATCTATCTGAACTTCAGTAAGGCCTTTGACACAGTCCCCCACAACATCCTCCTATCCAAATTGGAAAGAGATAGAATTGATAGGTGGACATGTTAGAAAGCATCCAGAGGAGGGGCCACAAAATTGATCCAAGGGATGGCACGCTTCCCCTACAGAGACAGGCTGAGAGCTGGGGAGAAGGCTCCAGGGAGATGTGATAGCAGCCTTTCAGTATCTAAAAGGGGGCTGTAAGAAAGGAGACAGACTCTTTAGCAGGGTCTGTTCTGACTGGACAAAGGGAAATGGTTTCAAACTAAAACAGAGGAGAATTAGATTGGAACTAGAAAAAAAAATAAATTACAGTAGGGAAACACTAGCACAGGCTGTCCACAGAGGTGGTAGATACCCTGTCTCTAGGGACACTCAAGGTCAGGTTCGGGGGGGCTCTGAGCAACCTGATCAAGCTGTAGGTGTCCGTGTTCATTGTAGAGAAGTTGGACTATATAACCTTTTAGAGGTCACTTCCAACTCCAACAATTCTATGATTCTATGAAATTCCTATGAGCCTCAGAAAATCCTCAGAGGGTTAGGGTATCTTTATGGGATTTCTATTTCAGTCTCGGTGTCTGGGCAAGTTCTAATGCTCCAGCAGCAAAGAAGTGTGCGTATGTGATTAAACACATTTTCCACAGACCCTCTAGGACAGCCAGGCTCTGCTAGGCTTCCTTTTACCACTGCAGCCTGCTTATCTCTATGCAAGCCCAACTACTACACTCAGGTGCAGAAGGTGCCCCGGAAGCAAAAAGTGATTATTGTGTGCATGACTTCAACAGCCTGTAAGCTCTCTGTTTTCTAGACATTTTCTCTTTCAAACCTCAAGTATCAGCCAAAGCAGAGTCCTTAATCTTAAGGTTCGAGAAAGAATACTTTACCAGATTTCGATATCCGGGTAGTGTTCTGCAGGTACTCTCCACTCTTATACAGATTCAAAACTCTTTCTAGTTGAGCAGCTGTTTCATCTATCCCCCAGTGAAGCTCTCCTTTAAAAGCATAGAAAAAGCATGATTCAGATGAGGAGCAACCTTCACAGAACTAAAGAAAGGCAGCATTCAAAGAGAGACTGCTCCATGACAGTGCTGTGATGTGGACACAGAGTCCATCAGTTACTACAAAATGACCATGAATCAGATTTCTTATCTGATGTGCGCTAGGCATGTCAAATGCTGACTCATCCACTTGGGAATCTAAGGCCCATGGGCAAAAAACACTGCACTGAGCTCCCCAGATGGGGTGAACATCAGCCAATGCAGGGAACTCCAAAGAATTTGCTTGTTAGTAGACTGGTACAATTCAGTTCCCAGTGGAACACAACATAGCGCAAGACACAAAGCCCCTAGACCTATGGCCAAAAGCCCTCAAAAGAGAACTGTGGTGCACACAGCTGCTCTTGTCCCAGAGGCACTAACTTGGCCATCAGTAAAGGTCTATGATAATTTCACTTGCCTCTGGCTCCTGAGGGATAAAAGCACCAGAGTTACCACTGGCGAGAGGCAAGTAAGCATCCTATTGGTAGTTACAGATACCCCTCCCAGAGGCAGGGACTCTCCAGACACCACAAGGAGCTCTGCAACAAGGACCATGGTCTACAGGAGACAGCACAACCTCTGGCCATGATGAATTTTCTCTAGATCGCTCCTTGGGATAAATGTAGAAACTGCATTCATTCAATTCACCACTGTGCAGACATGTCAGGAAGAAGCACCAGACCTCTGTCAAGCATAGTTAATATCTCACAGTGGGATTTACCTGGTATACAGGGCCCTTTTTGCCTTTTCTGTATGGGGTGAAATTTATCCTGAGTAGATAAACAATCCAGTTTCCTTACAGCAAATATAAAAGCAGCATCCCCTCACACCCCACACGTGATAGTGACACCAAAAAAAGAAAAGCTTGGCATTACCCCATCCGGTGTGATTACCTGTGGCGTTGACTATCTTATCTAGTAATGGTCTTAGCGAGGGCGGCGCGCTGTGTGGCAGAAGGTATGTGAAAAAAAACCTGGAAAGGAAAAGTAATCCATGTTGAAAATAAAAGAAACTACAGACATGGGATAAGTACCGAATAACATAAGGAATGAAATTCCTATTGCTTGTAAGCCACTGACCTATTCAGGAAATAAAATCGTATTCTGCAGTCGTGCGTATTCACACAGCTGTCTGGCATAACTAGACCACACTGCTATATACAAGGCTGCCTTGTAACTATGTGTAAACGTTCCGTTAATGCAGAAATGTGCTGTGAAGCCCCACAGAATGCAACTCTTAGCAAAGCTGTCTGTACCTTGACAAACTGCAAGGATGCCATCAACTTCAGAAGTCTCAGGGGCTTTTCAAGGCTTTAAGTGCATAAATCAGATTTCTGCTCATTTCAAAGAACTGACTGTTACTTTATTTTCTACAGTTTTCCTAGACTTTACAATTAACAGGGAGAAGAAAACTTTCTTCTATTGTTTTCACAACCCTGCAATTCAGAACATCTTTTCTGTTCTCATCGCTTATCTAAAATCAAGATGCATTCATGTGGATTGCCATGTTTGGATGTATCCTCTCCGTTTCATCATTTTTAATCACAAAAGAGAAAAGAAAATGACTTTACTTAGCATCATTTGAAGTATACTTAATTTCACATTGTTCCTTTAAGTTTCTCTTTCTCCTCCAATATTACTAAACACTGTAAACTCAGTGTCATAGCAACCTAAGATAGAGATGGACAGTTCAGGATCTGACAACATAAACAGAGCTATCGGGCATAAATATTAGGTAATGAGCAGAACAGTAACACAATTGGGAAATTGCCCTGCTTTACATCTAACCTGCACAGCAAAGTAAACGTTTTTTCATATACAGAGACCACATTGTCAAACAAAAACCTACAGTGAGTCATACTCAGGAGCAAGACTAGCAGATGTCTTATATAAGCACAAATTAAAAAATTGAGTTACTGATAGCAAAAATTGATCACAGACACAGGTATTATTGAGTTGACATATTCCACTTACACAATGAATATTTCCTTGAGATTTTAACTCCCTCCTAATCCCTTACAAAAATAATATTTATGATTTTCACAAGCGGGATTATCTCCAGGTTGGTTTTTCTAGCCGTGGCCAAGAAACATCCAATGAAAACAGACACAAAAATTTAAAGAGTGGAATAACATTTGTATTGAGTAATTTATCTGGTAAATTTTACTTCATTTTTTCTGCTTAGAAAATAACCATAAGCAGAGTCCAACTGACTGCAAATAGCTCTTTGCAAAAACTCAGCATCTGCCATTTACTTTCCTATCTGCTGGACAGATGCAAGTCACAGAACTCATTGTTCTTCCATAGCTATATGAATACCTAACTTGTCCACATGCAAAATTCTGAAATGTACAATGATGTCTGAATAGTTTAGTTACATGAATGTTTGTTATTCAGAGTAAGGCCAGTGGCATCATTTGTGATCTGCCCAACACAGATTGCCAAATTCCTTCCAGTTTGCTCCTACAGTCTTTTCTTCGTTTCTCTTTTCTCTGAAGAACTACCTGATCTTAACTGCCAGTGATGGAGAATTCACCCACTGGTCAATAGTTCAAAGTATTAAATAGTTTTACATTTAAAACTATTCAATGCTTCTAAAATTAGTCCCTCAAACATTTGGGAGAAAATCCACACAGATGGATTTACGGTAGAAGGTAACAATCTGAAAATTAACAAGTGATCTCAAGGATCATCAAGTTCCAACTCCTTTGCCACAGGGGCAGGGCCACCAACATCCATATCTAATACCAGACCAGGCTGCCCAGGGCCCCATCCAATCTGGCCTTGAACACCTCCAGGGACAGGGCATCCACAACCTCTCTGGGCAGCCTGTTCCAGCACCTCACTACTTTCTCTGTAAAGAATTTCCCTCTGATATCCAACCTAAATCTTCTCTCTGTGAGCTTAAAATCTTGCATAGATTTTTTTTTCTAAAATGTTTTTCCTCCGTTAATTATTTACCTCATAAGGAAACCAAGTAGAGTAGGCTAATTCTAAACAAGAATGAGTAGGCTAATTGTTTGCAAGGTTGGGGCCTACTATAATTTGAAATTTCAAGAGGTTTATGCATTGTTTGTCATTCCTCTGTTTTTGACTAATACCTAGCAACAGCACAAGCAACCTCTTTGCTGAGCACTGACAGACACTGCTTTTAATCTCTAACTGTACAACAGGAATGTGAAAATAGGAAATTAAGTAATGTACACCTAATGAACTGAACATTTTGCCTTCTAAGACAAGTGCATAGAGTTTGTTACCAAATCCATCACGCATGGTGGCAGCCTCCTGCAGCATCAATCTGCTGTTAAACAAAGGACAGTTGTCTCTACCGGATGAAGCAAAACTGGGGGCTGAAATCACGTGGATATGGGGCGTGTTACACACCAGTGTGCAGTTCAGAGGAAGTACTGTAATAAAAAACGACTGCTTCCTTCAGTGAAACCGGCAACCTGCCCGAAGTCCAGTACACCACAGACACATCTTCATTTAAGCCTGAGGTGAATGGATGCCTATTAAATGTTTCTCAGCTAGACCAGTAAAATGGTCTTAAGTGAAAGCTAGCTAGCTAAGCAAGATCTTTAAGCCAAGCAAGTAGAAACAGAAAATTTTGCAGGACACACTAAAATCCATGCTGCACAACTGCAGATGGCTGTCATGTGGCATAGCCCATTTCAGTGTGGTCAGTTAATGCAACACACATGCTGGTGAGCACCCCAGGACCAAAGCAGACTCCCTGGAGAAGCTTCTCCTCACTGTGGTCTGGCAAGGAGTGAATGGCATGATATTTGAAAGGGAAGTCTAAGAAATGAGCACACCATTATGGTATTGCTTTGAGCTCCTCCACCCTCATCTCTGGACAGGAAGATGGATGCTTCAGCCAGTGGCTTCTCTCCACAGCTGACTGGTTCGCCATAAACCTGCCACCTCCACATCCCCACATCACGGCACCACCACCTCAGCTGGTGGTAAGAAACATGTGGTGACCATTATGCCAAAGAAGTGCTGGGACAACAGTCTCACTACAGAGTTAATGGGACCTCATCTCTGTGAGCACTGCTGCTGTATGATTATAAAAAATCGTTATTTGTGTGAAGAATTCAGTGGAATTAAACCAATGTGAAATTAGACTAAGTGGTGAATCACACTCAAAGCATGGAAAATATTCCCAGTTACAAATGCTATGTTATGGTATTTTCCCCAAATGAAACAATTATTCATAGCTTTTGGATAACAGAACTGAGACAAGATGTACTCGTAGGCATGAATAACTCTAAATGATGCTGCAGGCTCTTTGTCCATTTTTAATTCTCTTTTACCTTACAGAGGACTGATCATGTACCTGTAAGCATTGTAGAGATTCCTCTTTTCATTCATGTTTTGGCACCGTCCCTCAATGGAACAAGGCAGAGTGAAGTTTCGTGCTGGAAACTCCATAAAGCAGTCACTGTTACTGGTGCAAGAGCTTTCCTCAATACTGGCATCATCTAGATCTGTCACCTTCAGCTCCCCATCCACAATCACAAACTGTCGAGGGCGAAAATCCAGAAGTGTCACAGAGCCAAGAGGAGAGTGAGCCAAATAATGCAAAAGCCGAACTAAGCTGAGACATATCTGAAATACAAAAACATGGGTACCTAGCATTATTTTCTCAGCACAGACCGTAAAAATGAAACCACTTTGGCTAAAGATAGATTCATAAACACATGACTTAATATGGGCATTATAACTTATCCTCAACACCAAATATTGCAACTAAGGTATTTTTCATAGGATTAACATAGTTGATTGTAAAGCCCTTGGAGACTTGAAACAAAAATAAGCTTCTTTACCAGTGCTTTCCCACACTATTCTTGAAGCATGGCTCATTGTTGCTATTCTTACTTTGATAGAAATAAAAAGCCTTAACTTTTAATAACACATTACATACAAGCCTTGACCATGCAATCTATGTTTCTGCTCTGTACAAACTCCAGGTTAGGAATTTTGGCCCAAGTGCTGTGCTCCTACAGTCAAAGCTCAGACTGCAGACAGCATCTGCGCTGTCTCTGTATTGATCATGCCTTTTGACTGCTGTTACAATTATATACATAAGGGTTCCCCCTGTATTTCCCTTTTCCAGTTGAAAAGGAGTGTGTGTACCGCAGTGGATCTCCATGTGCCACTTTAAGGCTGGGGTGGAAGCTCTGCACAGACATTTCAGTTGCTGGAAACTCCAGAAACTTATTAGACAGAAAACTCAATGAAAGCTGAACTCAGTCCCCTTACTAAAGCACTGTTTTGAATTAACGCAAAAATAGCATTAATATAAACACAATTAAATATTGGAATTTTTATCCTATATATTAAACGAATAACAGGTCTTATCCAGTCTAGCAAGGTTTTTATTGTTTATATATAATTTTGGTTTTTGTTAACATACACTGTTAATGTCACATACATTGAAGTAGTCAAATCAAAATTCAATCTCAGGGCATAAACAATATGCCCAGGGGAGCACCTAAACACATACTTCATGAAGAAGCAGAAGCCGAGCATGTCTGGAGCTATACTTCACAGACCGCATGTCTGTGCGACATTAGGACTATCCCCCACTTCTATAATCACCTCCTTGCTTGACTGGGCTAGAACGTTTATCCTACTTAAGTGATACCAAAGTTTACACAGTGATGGCTGTCCTGTGAATGAATACAGGCACAGTGATGGGGTGCCAGAGCTGACCTTCCTTTCCTCCCTCTGAAAGTGCACCAAATTCCTGCACGCGCTATCCTGAAATACAAGGTATTAGCCAAAAGCATCCTATAATACACTTATCTTCAATTGCCAACAAATCCAGAATTTAGTTTGGATAAAAATACAAGTTGTCATCTGATATCACCGCCTTTTCTCAAACCCAAAAGATGCTGCTCCTGCACTGGCAACTTTTCTGAGCCACTATGGACTGATGCCCGGCATACCTACCATGAGTCTGGGGTGTGAAAACCCATGTACAACAAAAGTCTTAAGTACAACAGTGAAGGCTTTGCTCTGCATCACACTGCTGACTGGAGCAGTGTTGCCCTGGGGAGGAAGCCTGCTTCACAGACCAACACCAAGAAATTATTTGTAAGAACAGCCAAGCCATTTATTTAGTCCTTTTCAGGACTGGGTCACCAAAATGTCATAGAATAATTAAGGCTGGAAAAGACCACTAAGATCATCTAGTCCAACCATCAACCCACCACCCCTACACCCACTAACTTGTGTCCCTCGGTTGCCACACCTACATGTTTCTTGAACGTCTTACATATCAATATATGATTTTATTTCCTCTTTCTTCTCTGTGCTAGTTGAGTCCTAGATAATTTCATGCTTAGTAGTTTGTCTAAGACAACTCTCCTTTACCTCCCTTTCTAAGCGCTCGCTCAGAAATATCCATACTAAGGGAAACTTCCCAATTTGTTACCCATCATCTACCATATCTCTTGGTAATTGACTGGGTACTCAGATGCCATCACAGTCCGTTGTTGGCACTCTGTGAATGAGATAAGACAAAGACAGCTTCTACTTTCATGGAGCTATGACAAGCACCTCCGCTGTTTATTATAGACGTATTTCTTCCAGGAGAAGGGAGCTGAAGTTGAGCTCCCTCATTGTTCCCAAACACAACTCAGAAGGCAGCATGGCCATAGGATCCTACCTGATAGACATCTTGCACACAGCCACCCAGTCTTGAGAGTACCAACTGTAACAGTACAGACATAGGCTGTAGCATACCACAGTCTCCGAGGTTAGTCAGGGGCACTTTAATTCTCCCATACAGATGGAGCCATACAGCCCAAAGTGTTTTAGATGAAAACTATTGCTGCCTTGAAATGTCTTAGGGAGTTAACCTCAGTCGACTAGACAGCCCAGTGTACACTGACTGAGACAGCGCTGTCTTGATCAAAGCATTGCTGCAGCCTGGCTTCATTTTGGACAAATTAAGTGTGACCTTCATGCTCCTGGTAAATTGCCAGCGCAGTGGACAAGTCGCCTTTCAGATTTGTGTATGTTGCTTTCACTCTCCCCCCGTAAGAGACAAGCAGAACAGGAAGTGGAAGAAAACAATTATAAAATCAACCTAGGATAATGATTGTAACATCCTTCTATTGTTTAAATTCCAGTTGCGGAGCATAACGCTCAATGCCAAGAACTCTGAGCCTTGATCTTTAACAAGTAAGAAACTTTTGGAGATATGATGTAAAGGCATACAAGCCAGATACAATTAGATAACAATGACAGACAAAACAGCACAGCATATTAAACACTGCAGAAAGGGAGTGTTAAAATCTGCTTCTAAACCAAGATGCAATCACAAGCAAAGCAAATGCTGAATAAACGTGAATTATACCACTCCGCACATAACTTATGTTTCACACCATGCTATTTCGTGTTCATCGCTCTCTTGCATTATAAGCAGTTGTTACTTACTCGAAATCTGTCTTCCCAGGAAGTCTGTAAAAGCTGAATCATCTCTAAAGGTGAGCCTAGTTCAGTGATGGCCGTCAGCGTGTCTGGGATGTCATTGCTATCTTGGTAACAATAGCCATAGAGCTGGAAAAAAAAATCACAGGGCAGTATCAGTGTAACATCTTGGCACGCTTTTATGCTTCTCAGAGGAAGAGGTGCAAAGTAAACATTTCTTACAAAGCATTTAGCTGCATTGAAGCCCTCCTCAGCAGCTTTTGGATCCCCTCATTTGAGGAACATTCCCTTGAAATCCCCAAAGGAAGCTCCTAAAGCAGCCAGCACAGCCCCTGAGGGTGTCACACCGCTCCAGGCAAGTAAAGCAGCCACGCATGATTTCATATCAACAAATGTTTAAGAAAAAAACTAAAATATCCATGAATGTAGAAACAGAACTCTATCAGAAGAAAATTAGCTTAGTCTATGCAACATCTGGCTAAAGACAACTTGATTTTCTTAAAATTTCCCTAAATGATACTGCTTAAAAGACATCACAAAATCTTTTAATGACATTTCCACAGACCTATTATTTGTGCAATGACTATGCATTTCAGTGAAATACAACTTGAAATGCAATTGAAATACCAGAACTTATCATTTGCCAGCCAGAAATTGCTTCTTGCTCTACTTGATAGACTTCCATATGCAGTACCATTAAAGAAGGACAAATATTTCAAAATATTATCTGCCAGTAGATTCTTCAATTTAAAAGAATTTAAATGGCAATTTCGGCCATGCTCCAGCTCCTTCTTGCATTCCCTTTCCAAGGACATCTGGGTGATTAATTTCCACTTGCACAAATAACTGCCCAAGAAGAATATTTAAGGGCTGCGGGGAAGAGCCGCTTGCTTTATATGGAGTGGGACAATGTCTGACACAGCTACGGGGACAAGCTTTATATGCCACATGCCAAGCCCTGGCAGAGAGGCAATTAGAGGAGCCTGATAAGGATCTGATTGCAACTTCCCAGCCAGAACAGCATGCACATGAAATAAAATTAAATGTAATCTCTGCCCCCAGTCAAATAAACTTAACAATAGAAGGGTTAGAGGGAGAGGGAAGGGAAAAAAAAAAAATAAAAATAAAAATAAAAGCTTCAGAAAGTGCTCTGGTTCTATTCATCTCTGCTTTCCCAGAGTAGCCCAATTTTTTTCCAAACCCCTTTTCAGCTCTACAGAGCTCAGTAAAGCTGATGAGGATCTTTCCTATGCTGTGGGACATGGTACAGCCTCACAGAAGACAGACTCATCCACTGCAAGGCCACCAGCAAAACCAAGAGCCGGAGGAACGAGAGCGGCCACAGCTGCTGCCACGAGCAGCTCTGGGTATGGAGCGTGCTCCTACAGCTTGTGATCCTCACAGCCAGAAAAGCAAAGAGCGGGGCTAAGTCAGCAAATACGTGGCTTGTTTCGAACAAGGCTGCTAGCTCCAACTGGAGCTGTCAGCATTTCAATGAAAAAAAGCGTTCCAAAAACGCAAGTGAAGTAAACAGTTTTTCTTTTTGGTGTAAAGATGGCACTGCATTTCAAAACAACAGCTTAAACATGGAGTTAAACCTAAACAAAAAAAGAGCTAGAAGATTTTATTCTAAGACGCGCAAAAAAGATCTTGGCACTGATGCACAACTGAGGGTTTGGGATGGATGTTGATTGGAACAAATGAAATAGGAAAGCAGACCTTTCTCCTTGCAGCCACGGCAGCAATAATTTCTTAAGCCAGAGCCATTCGGATTGGACTTGGGTGTCTCTGACTCTGTTTTTGTGCAGATGTCTACAGAAATTAGGAATGCGTGTTCAGTGAGTTATCACAGATAGCCACATCAACACACATCTGCTTAAACCTTCTGAACAAAAATAAGAATGAAACTCAATGAAAATATTTAGTGCACTGTCTACCGGTGTTCAGAGAAAGCCAAAATTTTCAGCACAGAGGGATCTGTGAGCTGAAGTCTGCAGTTTTTACTGGGTATTTCACTTCCCTCATGTGAGACGACAGACAAAAATATCTGTGAGCATCAGAATCAAACTTCTGCTCCTCCACTGTGAACTCATCACTTGTCTGTAGCACTCACTGTTACCCACTGGGGAAAAATGCCCTCAGGGAAATGAAAAGGAATAGAGACTAGGAAACAACACTATCACATTTAAGTGTTGAGTCACAGCAACAGAGAACACAAACAAGACATCAGACTTTGTTAGACAGTCTTATTTTGTAAAAACTATTCCAAGAACTGAAAGAAGGAAGATAACAATTAGACATGAATTTGATTATAAAATGGGATACACCTATAGTCACACACAAAATACTGATAAACCAGTCTTACTACTTATGTGCAGATGAAATGAATTACAGTGCCTACTTGTATCTATTTGATCTCGATCCACACGTTACCATAGTTAACAGAGTTTCAATTTGTTTGCAGAGAACTGGAACTTTTAAGCAGTAATTCTATTTGGGCAATCAGTCAGTACCGGGGCAAAAGTCTTTGCTGTCTGAGCATCTGTGGTACATTTTACTCTTCTATTGCCTATCTACTCACTTCAGTCACTGCAGAAGCTGAAGTGAGCTTGATAACACTGGGTTCCTTATTCTCAGAAGAATATTTTCTTGCACGAGTACTGTTGAATTCATCAAACCATACCAGAGAAACACAGCGCTGAGCAAGTTTGTGTAGGTCTAGCTTAAAAAAATATATAATCTAACCTGAGCTCTTTATTGCTAAAGTGAAACCTCTCCAAATGCAGTGCTATTACATAATTACATAGAGTTATAAAAGCACAGAAGTTTGAGATATAAAGGATTTATTGGGCTGCATTTGTGCTTTTCTAAATGAAGTCATGAAACTAAATGCAAAAATGCACATGTAATTATATGGTCATACTTGTATGTGCAATTATGATGATTACAAACTGGGTATGTCCCAACAGCCAATTAAGCATCTAAAACAGTTACATTCACCCCCTCCTGATAACCAACACTCAGAACGCAGACGCTTACCAAGTACGGAATATATAATAGAAGCAAAATGCTCAGAGACAGTAATCCTCGGCCCTTTCATTTCATAACTGGCTTGTTAATACGCATGGAGTTATTACGCAAAACATTTTATTTCTTCCCCCTTTAGTTTTTTATTTGGCCTACGCATGAAATGAGACAAACAGGTTTATATTCCCAGACAGCAAGGTTAAGAAACAGACAGTTGGATGCACATAATGAAAAGAAAAACAACAACCCAGGGAAATCGAATTTGGCTGGAAACAGGAGATGATCCAAAATGTCTCCTCTATGCAAAATCCTGTTGGGCTGGACATCAGCCTCAGCGTCGCAGAGCTGCGCTTTGGATATATTAAGGAATGATGGCTTTCATACTCTTTTGCAGCATGGTTCCAATTAAACGAGTGGAAAGAAATACAACCCACATCTTTTTGATATACCCAGTCTCTGCAGTTAAACACCACCCCAATATATTTTTGTGTAGGATCTAATAGCAAACAGGATGCCTCGCTTTCTGTTTAGAAAAATGGAAGTCAGCTACAAAATGTTTAGCTGTTCTCACATCATGTGCCGTAACTCATTTAGGGCAGCCCTGTTTACTGAATTCTCCCTGGACTGTTTGGGTTTCCTTGCTCATAAAGACTCAGCCCCGTGCTGCCCTCCGACCCCACAGCAGGGCATCCCCCAGCAGCAGCACAGCTCCAAGGAACCATGGCCCACTTGCTTCACAGCCCTACAAGCTACAGGACAGAGCCTCCTGGACAAGCCAAGGGGACAGTGAAAGCAGAGGTCAGAGCCTTCACAAAAGATGACAAGCTTGCTGAATGAAAACACAAAATAAAGGAGCTTATTAAGCTGTCATCAGCAGGGCAAGGATATGCAAACAGGCCCTCCCACATTAGCTAGGCATCCCTCCTGGGTTTTTGTCTGTTCCTTAGGTTTTTCCCCCAGAAAAATAAATGTTGATGCAGAGCTACATCTTGCGAACCCAAGGTGCCCACCAGGACAGAATCCAGCAGCCACTGGTCCACAGAGCCCCACTCCTCCTAGTCAGTAGCTATTCCCCCCACCTCTGAGATCTGTGCTGTTTATACAGTTTTACTAAAAACCACAGCACGCTGTGAAGCTTTCCCTATGCCTTCCTGGTTTTCAGCCCTTCATGCTCATGTTTTTCAGATTTTTTTTCTACAGCCACAAAAGCTGGAAATCTATCCCACCGTCCTCTATTGAACAGATCTTCCCAACTTAGAGCCTTGACGACAACCCCTTCCTGCAGTCATACAACAACATTACATTAGCAATGTCTGGAGACTTCACTCTCTCTTTCAAGAAGAGTTTGCCCAAACTTATGAGAGAGGACAATTTTTTTTTAAAAATCTTGCTTTCATGAAGAGCAACAGCAGCCAACGCTTGCCACGTCCTTTATTTTCCAAAGCACATGGACATAGATTTACCTCATCAAAACTGGCTGCATCAATATGATATTTTACAGTGACCTGGCAGCAAGGGGAAATAAAAAATCCCAGTGACACTGGTAGGATCTCACTAAACTGTTTGTTTGGACTGCTGCACGTCAAAACCAGGAAGGCACATTTCAGAAGCTTGTACTACCTCACTGTTATCAAAGCCACCAGAATCCTTTTGACACAACCAATGCTTGGATCCACCTGTCACCATCTGAGAGAATCACATCACTCCAAGACCTACTGATCTCCAAAGTTCTAAATGTTTTCCTATTGCTGATTGTATATATACATATATTTGTGCAGGTCACATTCCACCCATGAAGTGACTACATATATGAATATCTGTGTTTCTTTATTATATATACACACTATTTTCATCATTATATTATTTACACTTACATGATTATTTGAATATGTATTTGCCACCCTGTTCAGCTCAAAGCATCTGCCAACCTGTAGTCTCTCCCTGGGAAAAGGATGAGTTCCCTGAAAGGATCAACTTCAATATAAATATCAATGTGAGGTCAGCTCTGCTGCTCCAGAACATAAGAGATGGTGTGTGAGAAGTGAATTAATTTTCCTCATCAAAATGGAGAAATCAAGCCCTGTTGAGCTCTGAGCTTCTCT